AGCGCACTGGACCGCAATCAAGCGTGTAATGCGTTACTTAAAGGGTACAATGCATTATGGTCTTGTTTTCAACAAAGAAGCGAGTGACATAACGGGCTTTTGTGACGCAGACTGGGGTAGCGATTTAGACGAAAGGCGTTCGACGACCGGCTACATATTTCAATTCCAAGGAAGTCCTATTTCTTGGAGTACCCGCCGGAAACGAACAGTTGCGCTCTCATCAACGGAAGCCGAGTTCATGTCTTTGACTACAGCAATCCAAGAAGCGACATGGCTACAGCGACTACAACACGAGCTGACACCAAGTGCAACTAAAACGATCGAACTTGCGACAATAAAAGTGCCATACAAGTCGCAGTAAATAATTCCTACTCGGCTCGTACCAAACATGTAGACATAAAGAACAAATTAATCCGTCAAAGGCTAGAGAGCGGCACAATCAAGTTGTCTTATGTACCAACCACCGATGTGCTGGCAGATATTTTGACAAAAGGCGTTCCAAAATCTAAACACGTATTTCTTTCCGAAGAGCTTGGTTTGAAAAATATTAACTAATATCAGTTTTTTTTGGTAAAATTCACTTGTTAGTCAATGATATTGTAATCTAAGGCATTCATGTTTTTTCTATAAGAATCTTTTGAAATCTCATTTTATATGATCTAATTTATACTAAAGTGTTGTTCAGGAAGAGTGTTGAAATTAAATATTGAACAACCCTTCTATGAATACGCTTAAAGACAACTCTGTATATCCAATCGTTTTTTAGTACTTCTACATTCATCAAATGTCAGAAATATAACTTCACTTCCGTTTTGTATATCAAAAGGACTGGTCGTTTTTATTAGTCACATTGTGTAAGAAACTCAAACTTTAATAATCATGGTTACTGGGTGTTTTTTAAAAATGTCTTGTATATAAAAATGTGTATATAAAAATGTCTTGTGCAAATGAATATTTAACATTTTTCAAGGGAAAAAAACGCAAACGCATTATGCTCGAAGTATCGATTTTATAGTAAAAAGCCCAGCAGGCAAAAATTGGTAATGCGATTTTTTATTAAAAATCTTCGAAATATATGGAGCTATATTAAAAAACCAAGGAATCAATAAAAAACGAAAATAATACGGTTTATATGTGTATTTTATAGCGTCGAGAAGTATGGCAGCACACATTTGCTCTTACTGTCGGCCATTGTTATCTCTGTTTGTTTGTGAAAAATGCTAAAACGCGTGAATGAATTTATAAACGCGTTTACTTAATTAATTGATGAATATATATATTTTAAAAGTGTAAAATACGCACGTGAACATAGAAAATATAGTATATCACACAAAATATAAGTGAAAAGTTGTATTTTGTACAAAAATTTGGGGGTGGTAGTGAGGATTTTTTAAAAACAAATTGCTTAAATACTATTAGCAATTACTTTGTGAGAGTGATATATTCATGTAGAAAAAGCCTCTACCACAAGTTACCTCGTTACGTGCGGACGTGTTTTTAGATCGCTCACTGTGTGCTAAAACTGTTTTGCTGTTTACTTTTATATGCCTATGGCTTTGTAAACTTTTTGATTTGAAGTTCGTGAGATAGTGACTTATCAAATCTATTAGTGTTCTAATTAAAAAAATGCCGTGTCTATGTGGGCAAAAAGCCGAGTGATCGCGGCTGCAATGTGTTAATTGCAATGATTTTTTTCATCTTTCTTGTGTTAATATTCTACCAGCCGACGCTGAGTTTTTGCGTAGTACAGACAAGCCATTCCACTGCAAAGAATGCGCTGTTGATCGCCGCTAATCCCTTTGTACGCCGCCTCCTATCACGGTTTTAAATGATAGTGTCGTCGTTGCTTGCCCGGGCGAAAATGCAAATGCTTGCCAAGTACAAAAATCGAATGAAAAATCTGCTCCGTTTCTTCAAATTGCGAAAGATTCCGACTCGCTCAAAGGTGCTAACTCGAAGTCAACAAATTCGCAAAAATAATCTGCCAACAATCAAACTGAAGCTAAAAATCAGCAACAACAAATAACGTTGAGTTCTCTGTACAAGATTATCGTCTCTCTTCGTTCCGACAATATGCGAATGCTGAATTCTGTCGCTGCTCAGCGTGAGGAAAATCAAAACCTAGCACACAAAATAGATAACATGCACTCTGATCTTATTTCTATGCACGCGCGCTGCATGCGAGGGATGATGTGATTGCTTCTCTTAAGTCGAGTTGAACGACCTACGCTCCTGTGTGACAACTGCTTTTGATAAGCTTAGCTGTGTTAACAAATCATCAAAAGGTGTTGGTGAAACTGACATCGCTGCTGCTGGCCGCACTTGCGCTGCTGAACAAAATTTTTCGTCGTCTGCTGCCTCTCCATTCGTTCCTGTCTGCGACGCTTCGCAATCAACTGTCACCAGCAGTGCGGCTCTCACTAATACATCCATGGTTCAGCTGTCGGCTGCTGCTTCTTCTCACGATGTTATGCGATCAGCACCTACATATAGCGCTGCTCTCATTAATTCAACTATTGTTTTGTCATCTGCTTCTGTGTCAACGCGTGCGCCATCATCGTCTCTTTTGTCATGTACCCAGCAAGCTGCTTCTCCTAATTTATGTAATGGCTCTACTGCGACAACGCCTTCACTTGGTACTAGTACTACTCCCACACAGTCTGTTCCGACGGATACGAACACTGTTAATCCAGCACCTGTTTCTACGCAGCAACCTAATGAATGGAAAATGGTGTCTAAGAGCTGTCGTCGAATGCTTACGAAGCCTTTTATTATTGGTTCTAATAATTACAAGGTATTAAGTGTTATTTCCCAACAGAAATGGCTCCATGTGGCCTAATTTTCTACTAATCACAGCAGCGAACATCATCAGTTACGTATCCAAACATGCTGATATTGATGCCAAATTTCTGAATTGCTACTTGCTTATAAAAAAGGATGCAAATTTTGATGAATTGAGAAAAGTTAATTTTAAATTAGGAGTTTCTGGGTGTTTCTATGATAAATTGCTGAATGCTGATATCTGGCCTGCGAACGTTAAGATTCGACCATTTCGGTTTTTTCCAAAGGGCGACGCACCAGAACTAAATCCTTAGATGCTCTTGCTTCAGTAGATTTTCATTAGAAGCATCTCAAGATCTATTTTCAAAATGTTTCCAGCCTGCGGACAAAATCAAACTCACTTTTGAATATGAGCTCGCATACGGATTATGATATCTTTGTCCTTATTGAAACATGGTTGACCTCGGAATCTAATGACGGTGAATTCTTTGACTCCAACTTGTATACTGTGTATCGCAAAGATCGTGACTATTCTAAAACTGGTCTCTCGAGAGGAGGAGGAGTTCTCATTGCAGTTCACCGCCGGTTTCGCTCATCGTTTGTGAGTCTGAGCAATACGGATTCCCTTTTAGACCAACTCTGTGTCTCGATACAAGGAAAAATATTGTCTACGTATAAAAAGTTCAACAGGCAACA